CGGAGGGGGCGTAACTCCTCGCAAGACGGAGCGCGCCTATTGGGCTGGCAATCCGGGGCGCGGCCCTACGCCTCACAAGACTTTCTGGTTGGTTGGGAGAGACGTGGGGTGCAGCCTCTCACGTGGACCGGGAGCCCCGCGTAGCGCCAGCTTGAGTAGGCCGGGAGCGAATACCAGAGGGCGATTGCTCGGGCTCCTTGGTACCGGATTCTTGCGTGCCAAGCGTTGTCACCATTTTTACAAATTAGGAAACTGTGGTTCGGTGAAACCAAGCGACGCAACCAGAAAGTGACGGAATTGGGGTTAGAAGGCACAAGACACACACAAGCGACACACCCAGAAAGCGATGGAATTTGGGTCAGAAGGCACAAGACACACACACACAAGCGACACACCCAAAAAGTGACTGAACTGGAGTTAGAAGGCCACACACACACACACACACACACACACACACACACACACACGCCTGTTGGACAGACTTGTAATCCCAGCTGCTCCGGAAAAAGAGCAGGAAGATTGCCAAATTCAAGGCTAGTTTAGACAACTAAGACCCTGCCTACAAATTTAAAAAAATTTAAACAAGGGCGGGCAGGAGCATGAAGCAGCCATGGTGGCTCACATCTGTAATTCCATTTGGGTTGCTGAGAGTGGGGATCTACTGTAAATTGGAAGGCAGTTTGGAATATCTAGCCTAGTGAGTTCCGAGGAGACCACCTCTAGAAAGAAAAAGGAGTGGCTACCTGTAATCACACATCTAAGGAGGCTCGGACCAGAGGATCCAGAGTTCAAGGTCACCTCCAACTACTTGAGACCCTGTCTCAAACCTCCTCCCACTCCCAGAAAAGGCAATGGTTGTGGCTCAAAAGCAGATCACTTACAGGAGAAAATAATACCAGTAATACCAGTAATACCAGCACTCTGAAGGTGTGAGGGGAGGGTCAGGAATTCCAGACCAGCCTGGAATACATAAGACATTCCACTCCCAACAAAAGAAGTAAAGATAAGGGAGGAAGAGTTTGTCTTACTATTTAAGGTATAGTCCAACATTCCAGGACAGCTCACAACTTTGGTGACAGGAACATGAGGCTCTCAGCACTCAGCTGGCTTTCACTATCATCATCATCATCATCATCATCATCATCATCATTATTATTAAATTCAAGTCTCCATCCCCTGGAATAGTGCCTCCCATAATCAGAACAAGTCCTCTGTCCTTAGTCTCTGTAAACACCCTCATAGTCAAAACCAGAAGCACATCTATCTCCAGGTGATTGTAAACCCAAGTTAACAGTAAAGGTTAACCATCCCAGAAGCCATCACTATTTGTGACAGTAAAAATGAAAGCAACTTTAATATCCACGGAAGGTTACGAAAATGCTTCATCCCCACTACAGTGGCAGCACTGCTGATGGAACCCATCCTAAAGTGACAATATCCTAAGTCTACTATGAGGATAAAAGCACTTGCCACACCATGAGGGCTTTCTCCTACAGAGAGATGGGCCAGCTAGCCTTGTGTAAGAAGGAGAAAAATTAACAGACCTTGTGGAAGAAGGATTGACAATTGAAGTCATCCTCTTGAGCTCCACAAGCACATGGTAGTGTACACACCACATTCACACACACACACACACACACACACACACACACACACACTATACAAGCAAAAATAAAATAAAAGCAAGAGTCCTTAAGTCAAACACATTCTAGAAACAAATTACTCAGACACAAAAGTAATTATAAAATATGTACTGGACGCCGGGAATTGGTGGCACACGTCATTATTCCCAGCACTTGGGAGGCAGAGGCAGGCAGACCTCTGTGAGTTCAAGGCCAGAGCCAGTGCCAGGATAGGCTCCAAAGCTACACAGAGAAACCCTGTCTCAAAAAACCAAAGCAAATATCTTTATTTTACAATAGGGGAATTATTTTAAATAGTAAATTAGAAATAGCTTTGTTTCACAAAAAGGTTCACAACATGACTTTTCAAAAATATATCCACTACATAAACATTTTCTACATGGCAGAAACATGAAGTTAATACCTTTTATTTATTTTCTAAAGTCACTGCCCCTTTCCTCCCAAGGCAGAGAGAATAGAGCAGGGGATACCTTACAAGGATACTGAGTTCCTATACATTGAGTGATTGACTTAACTAGCAGCAGAATCAAACATGAGACTAGTTCTCGTGATTCTTCACCCAGCTATAAATAACACACAGTCTTGGAGTCTCTGTAAAAAGTGGGACATTGGTGTGCTAGGAAGATAAAGGTGCAAAGCAAGCAGTTCATAAATACCAGTGGCTTACAAGATTATTAACTGAAGAAATAGAAAGCCCACTAAGTCCTTTGCCAAGTGTCTTGCTTTTGTAATCTTGAACTTGAGAGATGAGTCAACAATTGCACTGAGACACCAGCTGAAGGTCTTTTAGAAAATGGAAGTTTGCAGAAAGCTGTCAGCAAATATGACAGACAGATGATAACTCTGGAAAACACCATGGGTGCTGCAGGGTTGTTCTTGTCAGTTGTGGAGGAGTGCTTGCTGCTGGAGCAACAGCACCTATTGGGATGATAATCAACATGATCTCCCTGGAACCACAAAACCACCCAAATCCTTGGGTCACATACCAGGTGTTCCATTCCTGGCCTGGTATGGAAGGCCAGAAGTCTCACAAAGGAAGAATGTTTCCTGGAGTTTGTTGTCTGTGTAAGTTGAGGTCCCCTGCCCTGTCTCCCTGCAACTCAACACTGATTAAAACAGGTTTCCTTCTGCTCAGGCTGGTATTTAGGTTGTATGGGTCCTGACAGACCTTGGGCTGCCAAAGACCTTTTCCTTGAATGGACAAGTGTCCACCCAGTTGAGGAAAAGGGTCCTCAGCTGTGCTTTGGTCATCAGGGTCCAAAAAGCTCAATGCTGTCCAGCTTCTCCTCTTTGTAGAGTAGGATGTTCTCCATCAGTTTCCTCTTGGCCTCATTGATCTCAATTTTCCATGAAGTCTCCGTAGCTGATGTTAAACAGAAAGTAGAAAAAGTGCAGCTTCAACAAGTGTTACTATTAAAATTCTTTGAGTCAGGCTTGATTGTCAAGATTGTGAATCAGACCCCAAATGCAAGCAGCATGCCATGGCTCCTGCCTTTGCAGGGAAATTTACACACACACACCATATACACCTCAACCCCCCAACCCCCACCACACACATACCCTTGCCATAGAGAGGCTCCCAGGTCCCTACACAGATAGAGGAGAAGTGTAGAGTCAACCATACTGGCAGCTGTTTCCAATTCTCCTTCTTCACTAAAGAAGTCAGAACCTAGTCTACCAGTGAGCCGTGTGTATAAGGCATGGTAACACTTCATTGAGAAGGTTTGACTTTTTTTTTCCACTAGGAAGTATGGCATATTTGGACCCAAGTTCAGGTGACAGAAGCTGTCTTTAGAAGTGATTGACAAGGGAGAAGAGGCAAGCAAGAGGGACCACACAAGGCCCTGCTGGTCCCAATGAGGTGTTTTGAAGTACAATAGGTATGAGCCATGCGGTGTGTTTTTGTAAACCACTCTAGCAGGACATGGTGGCACATGCCTGCAATACCAATAAAAATAAAATGAGACAGGATTTCACTAGATAGCCCAGGTGAAACTCTGTCTCAATTTATTTAATATTTTATTCTCCCCCCCCCAGGGGGGGGGTCGGGTGTGCACACACACACCTACATGAGCATATACATGCATGACAAGTTGTGTTTGTGGACGTCGGAGGACAACTTTACAGGCATCAATTTTCTCCTTCTACCAGGTAATGAACTGGGACGATACCCAGGTGGTCAGGCTTTAAAACAAGCGCCTTTATCTGCTGGCCATCTTACCAGCCCTGTGATCCTAGCACTTGGAAGGTGAAGGCAGGAGGACCAGGAGTTCAAGGTCATCCTTAGCTATGTAGGAAAGTCTACATTATCCTGGCTACATGAAACATTGTCTCAGAATTTAAAAAACAAAAACAAAAAGCAAAAAAGTTCTAGGACTGGGGATATGGGTTAGTGGTAGGATATTCATTTGCCTACCAACCATGAGGCTCTATATCCAGTCCCCAGAACCACAAAAATGCATACATAAATACATTTAAAAAAAACTAAAACTTGGGGACTGGAGAGATGGCTTAGCAGTTAAGAGCACTTGCTGCTTGCTCAGGTTTGATTCCCAGCACCCACATGGTAGCTCACAACCATCTGTGACTCCAGTTCCAGGATATCTGGCCTCTTCAGGTGCTCAGATTCAGAACACCCATATACATAATATTTTAATCACTCTCTCTTGATCCTGGAGGAAGAACTAGTGAGCCAGAGGCAAGAGTGGATCAAGGGTGAGGGAGGCCACCCAGCTGTCCTAGCAGATGTGCAGTATCTGTGACCAGGGTGCAATACAGAGACGGAGGTGCAAAAGATTTAAGAGCCAAGGGAGTAGACAGAAATAAAATGGCCACCAATGAACTGGGCTTCCTCTTTGTATAACCACTGAGCTGTGAATGCCTGAATAACCAAACAAAGAGGGGAGGGATGGCCTAAGTTAGGGTCACAGGAATGACCATGCATGGGCACCTCACCCTTCCAAGCTTACCGTCCTGGGGTGGCTGTGGGCCTGTGCGGGCCTCTGAGGAGGAGTCAACCTCCACTCTTCCACTGGCGGATGGCTGTACTATTCCATTTTCCCCAGAGAGCGGAGAGGAGGCAACCCTTGTACATGACGCCACCATCACAGAAGAGGAGACACTGAGGCTGGAATTGTCAACGTCATCTGTTTCCTCTGGGGTATTGGAAGACAGGCCTGTGCCCTCAGAAACCCGGCTCCAAGGGAGGGACGGCTGACCTCGGAGCTGCTCCACCACCCCAGCCATGGAGACTCGTGCCTGGGGGGAAGAGACAGATAACACAGGAACTTGAATTAAAGCCAGAGCCCACACCTGGTCTCCTGGGAGTTAAAATCAAATGCCTGCTGTGGTGGGAAGAATAGCATCCTGCCTTAAAGAGATCTGAACTTGACCCCAGTACTCAGAGCCACAGATGAGCCTGTGAGCCCAGGTGGTCCAATCACTGCACCTCGTGATTCTTCTGATCACGAGGACTGGGTCAGGTGTAGGCAGGTGTCTGTTTGCATGTGTCTCTAAGATCTTGAGTTGAATGCAGAGCCTTGGGTGTGCACACTAGGCAAACATGCTACATGGAGCTACATCCTGGGTCCTCTCGTTTGTCTTCTTACATTTTGATCTAAGAGCTCATTAAACTGCCTCCACACCTTGAACTCACTTTGTAGCTGGTCTTAAACTTGTGGTTCTTCTGCTTCAGCATCCCAAGTAGCTGGGATTTACAGACCTGCACTACAGCTCACTCTACATACCCTTAATAAGAAACTTTCATTTCCTCAGTGCCTTGCAAAACAATTCAGGGTGTAGGCTGGTGAGATGGCTCAGTATGTTGATATACTGGCTTCTCCCTCTCCCCGAGTCCTGGGCAACCTGGCCCTGTTCCTGCTCCCGACTCCTCTCCTTCTCCAACCCTGTGGTTTCTCCTTAGCACCTGCCTGTCACTCCGAACCAGCTCTCTCCTGAGCTTGGGCCTTCTCCTTAGGGAGCCTTTCCTGGTTCTGGGGCCTCTCTAGTCCTTGGGCTCTCTCCCCACCACAGGATCACTCCGGGCTACCTTCCCTCACCCTGAGATCCATCTTTGATAGATGATCGATCCTCGCTGACAGTTCAAAGGCTGTCAAAGGTTGCGTGGCTGTGTCCCTCATGCGTTAGGCGGCTGCATAAGGACTCTGCATGCAGAAACCATATGGAACCGGAGCTGGGCCAACGGCAGCTCCATGACTCCAGTTTCAACAGCTGCAACTGTTGAGACTTGTTTTTTAAGATTTATTTATTTATTAATTTATTTATTATGTATACAATGTTCTGTCTGCATGTATCCCTGCCCAGCAGAGGGCACCAGACTACATTACAGATGGTTGTGAGCCACCATGTGGTTGCTAGGAATTGAACTCAGGACCTCTGGAAGAACAGTCAGTGCTCTTAACCCCTGAGCCATCTCTCCAGCCTGAGACTTGTTTTAAGCCACTCCTGTTCCCCATATAAGCAAGCACCTCCTACCTGTTCTCACTCTCTCTGTCTCTGTCTCTCTCTTTCCATTTCTGCTCCCAATCAGTTCACATCTACCCCTCCCTTTGCTCACTTTCCCAATAAAATCCATGTGGGTTTGTTGAGTCGTGTTTCATCGCCTGAAGCTGCAGCAAAGAACAACACCATATCTAAATATGCTTGCTGTCAAAACTGATGATCTGAGTTCAATCCCCAGGATCCATGTGGTAGAATGGATTGAGCAACAGACTGAGAGACAGTTACCATCTTGAACCCTGAAATGGAAGCTATGTAGCTAACACAATATTGTGGTACTGCCACTGCAGCGCTGGCTACCTACATCCAAGCCATCAACTCAAAGGCAACAACCTTGATTAAACCAATGTCTTTTGCCATCTCCTTACAGTCACTTTACCCAAGCCTTAAGGGATACACTGAACCGTTAGCGGAATGAAAAACTAACTGCATGTCAGAATGACATGTCAGAAAGTGAGTGGTTCAAGGGGAGACCTGCTTAGAATACAATTGATTATATACTGATTGATTATATACTGCTCCTCCTGAAATCCTCAGTGACCTGAAAAATCCTTCTGTGCCTCCAAAGCCCTCTAACTCTAGGCTCTTTTCCTCACCAACTTCACGACAAGCCAGTCTGACCCCAAGAATTTATTCCTCAACCACCTGGACTTCCTTCCAGATCTAAAGATGTGGCATTCTCTCCCTCAGCTCAGACTTCCTTCTGGGACTGCTCGTCACGTGTGTATGGGTTCCTGGCCAGGCTCAACACAGTGAGTCCTGTCTACACCATCCTGGTGCTCACCACACAGACAACTCCCGTGCAAAGACCAGGAACACCAGGACAGCAGGACAAGAATGGCTTGCTCAGGGATATGTCCTCTGTAGTCAGTCAGAGACCTTTAGGCACTTATTACAGCCCATCTTAGGAACACTTGGGCCACTCCAAGCCATCCTCTCCAACACGGTGGAGGAAAAGCCACAGGGCCAGTGACAAACCAGGAGAGAAAGCAAGCTGAGAGAAGACAGGAAGAGACTGGCTCCCATGAGAGGCCCTGTCCTGCACCCTCTGCAGCCCAGTCACACACCCACTCTCAGGGTCCCCCACGGCCCACACAGCAACCTGATTGCTGACATGGCCCCAGCGAGTTCTGCTGCAGACAACCAAGACTAAATGTGACTTATTACGTCACCAGTGTGTGAGTCTCCCTAGATAAGACAGCAGGCAGCAAAGAACTCACCTCCTCCAAGCTGGCATTGCGCCTCCGCAGGCAGAGACATACAGAGGAGGCCCAGGCTTCAGCACAGGCCTCAGGCAGTAGCCCGGCTCTCCTCTCCATGTGCTTCTGACAGATCTCTTTCGCCACCACCTTCCCCATGGCTGTCTTCCTGGAGTCCAGCGAGGCAGTACTGCTCGGAATCTCACTAAGAAGCAAATCCTTCTGTTGGAAGAATGAGGAAATCCAGGTGAAACGCTGGGTGTGGCAAGATGTCTTAAAAAAGAAACACAATGTCCCCAAATAAGTTCAGCACCCAAGCTCTTGAGAATCATGGGACTTGCTCTGTGCACAGGGCAGTCCCTGTGACATCTACAGCTCATCTGAAGTAGCTTAACCTGTCCAGATTCCATGGCTCCATCAGAAAATGGGATCATGAAATGCCTATCCCTGGGTGTAACACAATGCAAATCCAATAATGGACCTAAAGCACAAAATGTGATACCTGACAGAAAAAAATATTCAATAGCCCATTTCCAATAAATGTCTTCCATTTGCACAATATGTGCACAGTGAATGCTAACAGCCAACATTTAGAGAACACTTACCATGTGTCTAGCACTTATAATTTAATATTTAAAAAAAATGTTTATTTTTTGCTGGGCAGTGGTAGCACATTTAATCCCAAGACTCAAGAGGCAGAGGCAGAAGATCTCGTGAGTTCGAGGTCAGCCTGGTCTACAAGTGAGTTCCAGAACAGCCAGGGCTACACAAAGAAACCCTGCCTCAAAAGAACAAAAAGATTTTATTTTTTGCTATTTTTGGGTATGTGTGTCTGACTGTGACTGTATGTGGGTGTGTAAGTGTGAGTACATAGGCCCTCAGAGGCCAGCAAAGGGTGTCAGATCCTCCAGAGCTGGAGTTACAGGGTAAAAAGTTTGTAAGCCACTGGATGTGGGTTCTAGGAACCAAACTCAGGTTCTCTGCAAGAGTGGTGTATACATTATTAAGCACTGAGCCATCTCTCCAACGCCAACTCAATCTTATTTTTTTAAAGATTTGTGTGTGTGTGTGTGTGTGTGTGTGTGTGTGTGTGTGTGTGTGTGTGTAAAACTGTGTGTCTGTCATCTGTGCGAGTGCCTGTAGAAGCCAAAAGAGGGCATCAGATCCCCTGCAGCTAGAGTCAGGTCCTCCGGAAGAGCAGCCAGTGCTCTTAACTGCAGTCATCTCTCCAGACCCTTGTTTTGTTTTTTAAGACAGGGTGTATTTATGTAGCTCTGGAACTTGCTATTTAAACAAGGCTGTCCTTGAACTCACAGAGATCTGCCTGCCTCTGCCTCCCAAGTGCTGGGATTAAGGCAGATGTTTGTAGAAGTGATGTAAAAATTCAATGTAAATGTAACTGTCCACTTTATACAACCTTTCATACAAACTCAGAGAAAACAACCCTGAAAGATTATCAGCCACGGGATGTGATGGTTTCGTCAAAGGCAAAACAAGGACTGGGGATGTGGCTCAACAGTCAAGCCCTGGCCTAGTGTTTGTGATCCCCAAGTTTGATCCCCAGCAGCACAGATTTAAAAAACTAAGCAGGCTTGGTGTCACAGGCCTGTGGTTCCAGCAACACAGGAGGCTAAGGCAGGAGGATTGCTTGAGCCCAAGAGTTCAAAGCCAGCCTGGGCAATTGAACAAGATTTTATTCCAGAGGGAGAAAAAGTAAAATAAAAAAGTAAGCCCCCATGTGCCTCTGTTTCTCCAGCTAGCAAGTAGGTGGTTTCAAGATCTGAGAACACAACATGACTGATACCACCAGAGATTCAATACCTGGAGGTAAAGACCACTAAGGCCAGCATGGCACTTCTGACACTCACAAAGTTCCTTGTGTAGGCATGCATGACCTTTTAACTATTTATCTTTGGGGAAATGTAATGACATTCAAGGAATAGGAAATCAGCATGTAACAGTTGAAACACGTGAATGGTTTACAGAGAGAGACAAGTTATCACCAAAGAGGAGGGAGGGATCCAGAAGCTGTTCATGGAGCCCCACCTTGTGACCCCTCAGGAAAGAGAGATCTTATCTGAGCCAGTGTGAGAAGCTGAAAACAGCAGTGACTTCACAGTGTGGGGACCCCTGACAAAGCATTCTTTTTTTTTTTCCCCAAGATTTATTTATTATGTACACAGTGTTTTGCCTGCATGTATGCCTGAGGGCCAGAAGAGGGCACTATTCCAAATTACAGATAGTTGTGAGTGTGGTTGCTGGGAGTTGAACTCAGGACTTCTGGAAGAGCAGCCAGTGCTCTTAACCACTAGCCAACTCTCCTGCCCCCTGACAAAGCATTCTTGACAGAAGAATCAACCACGAACCTACACAAGTCTCAAGAGCCAACTCCCAGGAAATTCTAAAGAAAACTAGAAAAACTAGTGAGTGAAATCAGACAAACCAAAATGTCCCACAGTCTGCATGGGATGAATGACCCACTTTAGCAGAGCATACAGGGACTCACCGAAGAAAAGGAAGGCAACTGTGACAGGAGAAGGAGCTCAGTAAGAGGGCTGCATCTGGGTGTGCGGCACACGCCTGTGATCCCAGAACTCGAGAGAAGGCTGAGGTGGGAAGATGACCAAGAATTCACAGACAGCCTGGGCTATAACATAAGACCTCCCCCAACCCTGGAAGGAGGAAAAAGGAGAAGAAGAAAAAAGGAAGGAAGGGAGAAAAAAGAAACCATCTAGAAACAGAATGTGGCTCAACCGCTGTACACACACACAGGCAGGGCCAGCTGCTGTTACTTCCAAAGTGGCACTGTGGGTAGGTATGGTAAACACAGAGAGCTCTGGCCTGAGGTCTGAGAACTCTGCACGCAATGGTCAAGGCCCTCCCTGCCCACATGGATGTGTGCTCGAGGATACCAGCCCAGAAGTGACTGGATCTCTTACCAGGTAAACTGGACTTCGATCCTTGTCCATCGCAGGGATGCCAGTGAGGGCCTCAGCTAATACCTGGATAGGCCAGAACACAGAGTTAGTGTGATCTTGATATGCCCACAGTCAGCAAAAGATTTAGGCAATGGCAGAGGCTTCAGCTTTTCTGTTTTATTACTACATTTATATATTAACATGGTGTGTGTGTGTGTGTGTGTGTGTGTGTGTTGGTTTTCATGTATCATAGCACTTGTGTGGAGGTTAGAGAACAACTTGTGGGAGTTGTTCCCAGGGCTGGAACTCAGGTTGTCAGGCTTGGCAGCAAGTATCTTTACCCACTCAGTCATCCTGACCCATTTTTTGTTCATGAAACAGGGTCTTTTGTAGCCCAGGCTGGCCATGAACTTACTCTGTAGCTGAAGATGACCTTCAGTTCCTAATCTTCCTGCCACATCAACATGATTTATTTCCTTAGAGCACTCGGCCACCCTGACATCACTCACAAAGGAGTACGGCCTGAGCAGGTGTAAGCCAACACCCAAGTGGAAAACTGTGACCCATGTCTGTGTGAAGAACAAGCCTGCCTTTCACGGGATTCTCAGCGGTATAAAGACACAGGAGTCGGGGGATCTGGAGACAGAGGCCTGGATTCCCAGGCCTACCCTGCACAAGAAGGGAAACCTGGACCCCTGGCTCTGCATCTGCCATGTGTGGTAGAGCAGCTCTGTGCTGCAGAGTGAGCGGCAATTCTATGTCAGGCTTCTCTCCCACGCCCTGCAGCAGGTTGAAACAGACAGTGGTTGCTGAGGTGACCCTGCTCTTAGGGTAATGAGGAGCACACTGGTGGTGGCCAGGAGGGGGCAGCACAGGGCACCACAACAGAAAGGGGACTGCAGCCAGGTGAAAAGCAACGGCCCATCAGGTCGTTGCCAGAAAGGAGAAACAAAGAAAACAATTCAATAGATGTTCTGGAACGAACAAGTCCCTGACAAGGGTCACTTAGTGGGCATAAAAACACTGAGACATTGAGGCCATCCTGATCTACAGAGCAAGTGGACAGCCAAAGCTACCCAAAGAAACCCTGTCTCAAAAAAAAAAAAAAGAAAGCACCCCCCCAAAAAAAAACCCAACACTGAGACAGAGTGGGCAGGATGAGGCAGTTGTGTGATGGCTAGACCGTTTGAGTTTGATCCCACAAGGTGGCAAAAGAGAACAACAACTCTGGAGAATTGTTCTCTGACCCATCATGCACTGTGGCATGTGCACACCTGTACACGCAGACGCACTCACACACACACTAGTGTTACAATACCCATTTGTACACAGAATCCCATTACCCATAACTCTCTTTTTACATTTCATTTATTTATTTATCTTAGACAGTCTCTCCACATAGCCCTGGCTGCCCTGGAACTCACTTTGTAAACCAGACTGGCCTTTAACTCACAAAGATCACCTGCCTCTGCCACCTAAGTGCTGAGATTAAAGGTGTGCACCATCACACCCAGCCCCATTACTCTCTAGAAGCACCGCTAACCCCATTTTACAGAAGGCAAACTGAGGCCCAGATATGGGGTGAGCAGGTGTTACATGGCTGAAGTAACTTTACTGGACAAGGCCATATTGCCTGGTGGCTAGAGGGTCTGCCCTTTTGGTTTGTTTTGACTTTTTTTTTTCTCCCCTTTGTTTTGTTTTATTCTGTTTTGTTTGTTTGGAGACACAGTCTCCCTAAATTGCCTAGGTTCTCTTGGAACTTCCTCTGTCTCCCCTACCAGAGGGCCACTGATTCTCCAAGTAGGGCTGCTTGGCCTCACTAAAGCACTGACAGGGAATTGTGGGTGTTGTGGGGAGGATGGGAATCAGCGGAGTGGCCAGCCAGGGCCAGAAGGAAACTGAATCTGACATACAGAGGTCCAGCTGAGGGCGGGAGGTGGCTCAGTTAGGGCTTCAGAGGCAGATGTGGACAGATAGGAGACTGTGGTCACAGAGAGGAAGTACAAAGTTCAAGACTGAGAGGAAGACAGCAGCTAAGGCCTGTGTGCAGAGGTCTGAGTTTGGCTGAAGGCAAACAGACTGGGTTTCTCAGACAACATTCCCCAAGCAGACAGACACACCAAGAAAATGAGGTTCCACCACCAAGTAGGCTGGGGAAGCCTGCAAAGCGTTCCCTGGCGAGTTCCCAACACTCAGGTCATAGGGTCACCATCTTGTTAAAAGCTCCTGTTAACTATAATGAAAAACCTGCTTGGCTTTGCTGAACAGTGTCTTCCAAACCCATCTGTCCACTAAACCCTTTTAGCTCTCCCATCCTGCAGACATCGAAAGGAGTCAGTGTGTCCTAAAGATAAACTGAGCAGACAAACCATCAGGCTCAGTAAGCCCTGAGTGCCTGGGACCTGGTCATGAAGCAGGAAGTACATAGGAGAGGTCAATGGACACTGACTGCAGAAGTAACTATGATGGGAATGATAAATGGGTGCTGAAAAGACGGGTTCAGCCGTGCAGTGGTGGCACACGCCTTTAATCCCAGCACTTGGGAGGCAGAAGCAGGTGGATATTAGACATGACAGGACATGGCTAAGTAGGCCGACAGTGTAGATGAGAATCAGGAAGTTGAAAGATAATATCTATAGCCCACTAGAATTGCCAATCACATACAGTTTCTGAATATACCTTTCCATGTTATTTTTTTAAAGAGTTTTTCAGACAAGATCAAGGTGACCAAGAAGTTACTATGTAGCCCAAACTAGCCTGAAACTAGAAACAATCTTCCTGCCTCAACCTCCTAAGTGCTGGGATTACAGACATGTACCCCCCTCACCTAGATATGTAAACCTTTACAACCATTGAAAACCACACATAATTCAGAAGCCATACAAAATAGGTCATGGAAGCTAGGGCTAGTGACATACACCTATAGTTCCAGCTACTCAAAAGGCTGAGGCAGGAGGATTATAAATTGGTAGCTAGACTGGGCTACAGGGTGAAACCTCATTGCAACAAAAACAAAAAAAAAACTTACAAGAAATATGGCTCAGTGGTAGAGCATATGTCTATCATGACTGAGGACCTGAGTATTACCTCCAGCACCAAAAAAGAGGGGAAAAATTTAGGCAAACTAGGGACATAGCTCAGTCAGTGAAAACTAAAAACAAATAAGATTGAAGAAGATGCCACAGTAGGCTTTGTCTCAAATGTGGCCTATAGGCCACAGCCTAGCTGCCTCTGTTATACATCCACACAAGCCGCATACAGAGAAGACCCTTACAATTCCACAGCTGAAGATGTCCACTTGCTTGGTCAGCTGCCCCACCCTGATGAAGTTCTCAGGCAAATATGCAGCTGAGGCCTGGAACAGGTGAGTCTTCATTACAGTGTATTTGGTCTTTTTATCAGCAGGACATGGATGAGCCACAGGATGAGCCAGCTTGGGGTTAAGATGCTGATCCAGCAAAACGTTGGCACTGTGGGAAAGCAATAAACAAAACCTTCAAATTCTGGGAAGAAGAGGTTGCCATAGAGACACTTTGGGCAAACAATTTAGCAGTGGGCAATGTCAGTACTGCAAGTGAGTAGAGGGGTGTCACAGAAGACCCCCAACATAAAATAGCAATAAATGGACATGGCCTTGGAAAACCACTCACTGCACTAAATGGGAATGGAGTTGAAAACTGCCTCAGAAATGTGGCCAGAAAGATGCATACTCCCACTCCCTACAGATGTCAGCTCTGGCCAGCAGAGCAGGCCAAGCCCACTGCTCATGCAGGTCTAGACTCACTCTTTCAAAGCTGTTCCCACTACAAGTTCTGGACTCACCAGTGCAAAGCCAAACACTGGCTTCCATTACAGCTCAGTTTGCTCAGGTTGTAGGGAAAGGGTACATGTTTCTTTTTGTTTTGGTTTGGTTTTCTGGGGTTGTTGGGTTTTTTTTTTTTTTTGGTTTTTTGTTGTTGTTGTTGGGTGTGTGTGTGTGTGTGTGTTTTGGTTTTTTGAGACAGGGTTTCCCTGTGGCTTTGGAGGCTGTCCTGGCACTAGCTCTTGTAGACCAGGCTGGTCTCGAACTCACAGAGATCAAGTGCTGGAATTAAAGGCGTGTGCCACCAACACCCGGCTAGGGTACATGTTTTAAATTTCAAAAAGAGAAGTGAAAATGTCCTTTGACCCAGTACCAAATGGAGGGAGTTAACTCAGAGAAAGAGTTCCCCAGGGAGCGGTGACAAAAAGTTAAGCTTCATTACAGAACTAACCTTAGCAGTACTTTATTACACTTATGTGGTGGGAGGGAGCATGTACTATGACTTTCGAGGAGAGCTCAGAGGGACAACTTGCAAGAGCTGGCTCTCTCCTTCCATCATATAGGATCAAGAGATCAAATTCAGGCCATTGGGCTTGGCAGCAAAGGTCTTACCCACTGAGCCATCTCACTGGCCCACCAAATAGTATTTAAAAAAGAAGATATCAAAAAAAAGAAGATATCAAGCCAGGCATGGTGGTAGTTTAGCTCTAAACTCAGAGCTCAGGAAACTGAGATAAGAGGACTATTGCAAGTTCAAGGCCAGCCTAGGCTACATAGTGAGCTTCAGGCCAGCCTGAGCTGTACAGTGAGTTACAGGCCAGTTCTGTTCTGCAGCAAGACTTTGTCTCAATAAACCAAGAAAATGTTTAAATTTATTTATGGTAGCTAGCAACTCCAATATCTACTGTTAGGAGCACTTAAGTAAACATGGGCAAGCCGCTTCACTGCAAGACTAAGAAACCATGACAAACCGTGATACTTTGCAACATGGGGAGACGGCGCCCCATGATCAAATAATGGGTGAGGGGGGGAGCAGAGGAGGGACTGGGAGCCAGGGAACCTCCAAGGAGTGAGGAGTTGTGTGGGAGGAAAGCAAGAAATTGAAAATGAGTCAGGGTGCAGCTCAGTGGCAGAGCAAGCTTGGCATATCCAATACTGAGTGCAATCCCCCAACACACTTACACACAAAGAAAAAAAAAAGAAGTCAGCAGACCCGCTATGCAGGGCAGTGGGTCAGTGGCAGCTCTAGTTCCTGTCTCAGCATGGATTCTAGTACCATCAAATGAAATTCAGGAGAGGAAAGACCATCTGAGTTGGCATGTGACACGTGGGAGGAACCTCAGGGAACCGAAAGGCCCATGGTCGTGTGGCCAGTTCTGCTAAAAGTTTTGGCCTCTTCTGGAATCTCTCCCACACCACTTGCTCTTGGACACCCAACACTAAGATGATGGGGACAAGAAGCCTCCCTGACAAGACCCATCACCAACAGACACAAGCAAGGTGGGTACTGAGAAAAGCTTAGACATGGAGCTCAGATCCTGACTGAGGCTGGGTAAAGCTCCCAGGTGGAATGTAGACTGGCTTCTGAGTGGACGGTCAAACATTTAGGGTGTTGTGGCCTGCAAGGAAACTGGCTCAGTAGGATCTCAGACATAGTGACAGCTTCACATGCTAAGTGTGAGCAGAGAGCACACCTCAGAAATACTGGATTTTGAGGGCCTACAGAGAGACCTAAGGTCCCAAAGGGAGGGGAGGCTGCTGGGGGCCCGAATATTGTGCTATTAGAGGATTTCTCGGGGTCCAAAGCTCTGGAGCTCCAGAGAATGTCCCTTAATTTTGCATCTCTACAGAACTAAGCATTTGAATAGGCCTGCACCAGGGCGGAGGGAAAAGTCTACGTGAAGAGTGAGAACAGATAGTTAAGAGGTATCTGGCAGAGAAGTTGACTGGAAGAGAGACAGTAGAGAGATCTGCTGATAGGGTCTAGGGAGATAGAAGAGAAATGTTCTCCGGGTCAGGAAAGAATAGTTAGATTACAGCCAGGAAGATGCTGAATAAAGAATAGACTCCAGTTTTGCAGCATGGAACTGAGAGCTCTCTAAAGATGACAAGATGCCTGTGTCTGGTCATTATCGCCGTTGAGTTGCTAGGAGTTTCCAAGTCCACACTCCCCCACTCAGGCCGAACCTTGTGGCTTCCGTGGTTTGGGACTGAGCCATGCTGGGCCACGACAGGAGGCAGAGGAGAAAAGAGAGGGAGAGGAGAGATAGGAAGCATTCTTGAAGCCAGGGCTGGGCGGCAGGCCCAGCTCATCTGTCCCTCTCACCTCTTAACATTGCTATGGATGATGTCCAGGCTATGCAGGTATTCGACAGCTTGAAGCAACCCTGTGCAGATGCTAGCACGCTGGGGCCAGGGCAGCAGGTCTGAGTCACCCTAAGAGAAAGGAAAGAAACAGTAAGGGCCACTCCTGCACCATTCTGAAGTCTGTATAGCCTGCTCTTGGGCACCTTTGAAGATGTCCCTGAACACAGGGCTCAGTCAGAGTGATGTACTGGCTTGCAATGATGGTGCTTGTATCAGACAGATTGACTTACAGATCCAAGTTCAGACAGACGTGAGCTATGTGACTTTGGGAAAGACATATGAGGCCTCTGAGCCTCAGCTTCCTCAGGTATGAAATGGACATGTAGGATTGGAGGTATTAAGCTCAGGGGTGGAACACTTACTTGTCTTGTATGTACAATGTCCTAGATTCGATCTTAACACCAAAAGGAGGAGAATGGGGATGTTGTTCAGTTATAGACTGTCCGCTACTATCCACAAGGTCCTGGGTTTGATTCCCCAGCATTGCATAAACCAGGCATGATAGCACATGCCTGTAATCCTAGCACTCAGGAGTTCAGGGTCATTCTTTACCAAACAGCAAGTTTGAAGCTAACCTAGCTACTGGTGACCTGTCTCAAAAAAAAATCATAAATAAAAATGAAATAAAGGATACATTGATGTCTGTATTGAGAATTTTATAAGCTTTCAAGAAGTTCACACTCTTCTAAGTCCTTATGATACCTAGGCAGGAGCCATCCGCTCCATTATCGGACTACAACCCAAGACCCAGCTGTTACCTTAGCCTGGAGTCTGTCCTGCAGAGAGCCATTTGCCATGTAGGGGTAGATGAGGCTGTGGAACTGTCTTCCAGTGCAGAAGCCCAGCAGAGGTAGGACATTGGGGTGGCAGCACCTGAACCCAGCACCAGGGTACAGTCAGACATCAAACAGCAAGAGCCAAAGGCAGACCCTCCCTTCTCACTCCAGGCCACCAGCCACCTCCCAGGTGTCACAGGCTCTGATCCCTGATGGCCTCACCCTACTTCCCTGCTATGCAGGCTGGCACCATCCCCACTCCACTTCTGGGAAGAGGCTTAAGGATGAAGAACTTGCTACAGGCCACCACACCCGCCCCAGGTTGGTTTAACTTGGGGACTCCCCGTGTCTGAATCACCTTTCTCCTCATGACGCCAGCCACGTCTCATGATTCACATGAGAACCATCCACATGTCTACCTGGACAAAGGACATTTCTCTTCTGCCTCCCAGAAACCTCTTGCCTTATGAATCGTCATGCACTGTTACACACGCTTCCCATGCCCTTCTCAAGGTCACAGTCCAGTCCACCTTGAAGGACAACTGCAAATGTCCCTGTGCCAGAGCTTGCTGCCTCCTTGTCTCATTAACTAGTCATTTGCATGTCTGTTTACACTGTACCATGAGGCAGGGTTTACCTGATGTCAAATGAGCACTCTCTGTAACCTGGGAAAGCCTGGGCTACTAAACCAACAATGAAGGAGTGACCACCAAGCCAGGAAAGCTAAGAGTTGAAGAAAAGCATAACCACACATCTGGTTTCCAGAGAACAGATATATACATGTTACACACATGTGTGTTCTTTCACATGAATGACTACAGAAAACATTAACTAGCTCGGTGTGGTGATGCAAGACTAAATCCTAAACCAGGCGTTGGTGGCACACACCTTTAATACCAGCACTAGAGAGGCAGAGGCAGGAGGATCCCTGTGAGTTCAAGGCCAGCCTGGTCTACAGATCTAGTTCCAGGACAGCCAGAGCTACTTAATAAGACCCTGTCCCAAAACAAAAAAAAAAGAAAGAAAGAAAAGAAAAGAAAAGAAAAGAAAAGAAAAGAAAAGAAAAGAAAAAAGAAGGTAGGAAGGAAGGAAGGAAGGAAGGAAGGAAGGAAGGAAGGACGGACAAATTAACTAGGTCTGGAGGAGCCAGAAAGCTGAGGCAGGGGACCTAAAAGTTCTAAACCAGATGAAGCAACTAGTGAAAGCCTTTCCCAATACAAAAAGAGGGCTGAGGATACAGCTCAGGAGTCAAGCTACAGAGTATATGGAAAGTCCTAGAAACAAATGCCAACAAACCCAAATACAACAACAAATACAATAACAATCTCTAAACTTAACAGCTCACAGAGATCTTCCTGCCTCTGCCTCCCAGGTGCTAGAATTAAAGGTCTGAACTACCACTACTACATCTGGCACAATTGTTCTTATAACTTTGTTGAGGGTTTTATTGTTTTGTTTTGTTTTGTTTTGTTTTGTTTTGTTTTGTTTTGTTTTTCATGGCAGGATAGTGCCGGGGATCAAACGCAAGACTGCATACATGCTAGGCCAGGCAGGTACTTTGAGGAACATCACTTATACCCTTCTGTGTTTCTCAAAATCTTATTATTTGTCTGTAGCTACACCCTAGCGGGAGAGAATGCATTACCTTCCCACACTGAGTGGCAGCTCATGATGACAGTGGTCAGTGTGCACCTGTCAAGTCACCAGTCAACGATGACAGAACCAGGACACATCTCAGTTCCCAACTGTCCTCTCTCTCCCTAAACCTTTCCCAGCTCTGGGACAGGAAGCCTTGAGCTTGCAGCCTTTCTGCCCTGGTCTCTCAAGTGCTGGAATGACAAGAGTGTGCCACCCAGAAAAGTGAACAGATGGGAAGGTAACTTTAGAAGGCTTTATCACTTCAGGCCTGTAATCTCTGGGTGGCAATGGGTAGGAAGCTCCTAGGACTGGAACCCAGGCCTTTATGTATGCTCGGCTACATCTCCAGCCCCAAAGTCAGCTTAGAATAAGGAGTGAATTACTAAATATGAATTATCCACGGACTGTGGACTATAACAACTGCCCTACTATGTGTTCTGCCACAGACACTATGGCACTGGTGAATACAGCCATGTACCAATAAAACTTTATTATAGGCATTGAAAGGCCAATGTCATCTTGTGTTCATGGACTATGGGATATTCTTCTTTTGATTTGCTTCAACCATCTTCTAAATACCAGGCCAAGTATAGTGGCACACACTTTTAATCCCAGCATTTGGAAGGCAGAAGCAGATGGACCTCTGTGAGTTTGAGGCCAGCCTGATTTACATAAAGAGCTCTGGGCCAAGCAGCTACATAGCAAAACCTAGTCTCAAAAAATAAAATAAAAAATAAAAAGCATTCTTTGTTCTCAGGCTATATAACTCAAATAGAGGCAGACTTAGTCCCATGGGTCCCCATGTGTCTAGAGAACTATGATTTTTTTTAATTTGTTTTTTTTAAGATTTATTTATTATGTATACAGTGTTCTGCCTACACTACAGAAGAGGGCACTAAATCTTATTCAAGGTGGCTGTGATCCCCATGCTGTTTCTGCTCTGGAAGAACAGCCAGTGCTCTTAACCTCTGAGCAATCACTCCAGCCCTGAGAGCTATGGTTTTAAGATCAGTTTGCCATCAGACTCCCAGTCTATCTGCCTGTTTGAAAATGGGACAGGAAGGGTCTCTGTCTTCATACATGGAAAGAGCTGGAACAAGCCAAGCTTTCTTAACCGAGCATACACTAAGGTGCTTAGGAGTAATTAGGGTTAGGTGAGGTCATGGATTATGGCTATAGAAGAAGAGGGGGAGTGACCCTCAGTCTCACTGTGTGATGCCCACTGCTGAAGCATCACCCTGAATGAGACCTCACTGAATGCCCTCTGACTTCCCAGCCCCTAGAACCATGAATTAACAAACTTGTGCTTTAGATACCACCCTTTCAGTGACTAGGTATACTAGGTATACCTAGTATACCTAGTATACTAGGTAACAGGAACAGAAAATGGCCTGAAACAATAATGGCAGTGCTAACCACTTGCCTGGCATACAGGAGGCACCATATTGCCTGTTATCATCATAGGCTCTGCACAGGAAACTTACCTGAGGCAAAGCTGCATCTCTGCTTGCAGGAATCTGTCCATGGACCCTGGACTTGAGCTAACCATCTGTGGGAAAAGATATAAGCCCTGAGGAGCCATCATCTTTAGCCCCAGGCTCCCACTATTCCTACAGACACCCTCAGCTCACCTCCCTGAGCTTCTTGAAGGCAAAGGCCACACCATGCCTTTGCCCCCAGTAGATATCAGCAAAGGTCCCCTCACTGATTTGGTGGCTTTGGTCAAAGTCCTCCGTTGCTTGGATGACATCGGTCTCACTCCAGAAAAACCTGTCTCCAGGCAAACTCAAAAGCTTTTCCTGCTTGGGCACAGATGTGGATGTGCTGCAGTCCTGGGGATTGAGAGAGAAGAATGGGTGACGCGAACATTTGTTTAATGATGCAAAGATGCGGTGCATTCTTTTATTTGTTTAACTCTGTAAAGCCGTGTTACTTCACTTGCCTAAAACACCTGATTGCTCTAATAAGGAGCTGAATGGCCAATAGCTGGGCAGGAGAGAGAAATGGGGGGGGGGGGGCTGAAAGGCAGAGAGAATAAATAGGAGGAGAAATCGAGATTCATAATGAGAAGAGGGAGGAGCTAGGAGAGGAGGACACCAGGGGCCAGTCACCCAGCCACACAGCCAGCCACGGAGTAAGAAGGAAAGAAAAACATATATAATAAAGAAAGATTAAAAACCCCAGAGGCACCGGACATTAGTAGCACACGCCTTTAATCCCAGCACCTGCAGAGGCAGGCGGATCTCTGTGAGTTCCAGGCCAGCCTGGTCTCCAGAGCGAGTGCCAGGATAGGCTCCAAAGCTACACAGAGAAACCCTGTCTCGAAAAACCAAAATAAATAAATAAGTAAATAACCTAATAAATGTAGAATAAAATTTTAAAGATGATGTGCAAAACTAAAAGGAAGAAAAGAAAAATAAATGTTAATAGAAACTTTGGGGGGGGGGCTGGAGAGATGGCTCAGAGGTTAAGAGCACTGGCAGCTCTTTCAGAGGTCCTGAGTTCAATTCCCGGCAACCACATGGTGACTGACAACCATCTATAATGAGGTTTGGTGCCCTCTTCTGGCGTGTAGGCATATATGCCAGAACACTGTATACATAAAAAATAAATATAAAAAAAAAATTAAAAAAAGAAACTTTTTTAGAGACAAAGTTTCACTCTGTAGCCCTGGCTGGCTTCAAATGTTCAGAGACCTTCCAGCCTTTCCTCCAAGTGCTGGGATTAAAGGTCCTCAATGATTCAACCACGTCTGAAAATGATTAACTAAATCATAGAAAATGTGCATTAACAAGTCCGGGAACTGCCACTTTCTTTCCCAGGTTCAAGCCCAGGGAAAAATATATATATATATATATATATATATATATCAGGGTTACACTGTGTAGCTTTGGTTGGCCCGGAACTCACTATGTAGAACTCACAGAGATCTGCCTGCCCGACTCCCAAGTGCTGGATTAAAGGTGAGCGTTACCATTGCTGGCTTTAACGATCTTTCCAGATCAGAAGAAAAATCTGGCAGGGTAGTACCTGGTTATGACCACAGCATTTGGAACACTATGGTAGGGAGACCACAAATTCAAATCCAGACTGAGCTACACAGTGAGACCTTGTCGCAAAACTAAATGCAGGCTGAGGATGCAGCTCAGTTGGCAGAGTGCTTGCCAGACACGCACAGGCCCTGAGTTCCATCCTTAGCGCACATAAACATGACTGTTACCCAGTAACCTGGGAGGTGGAGGCAGCAGGATGCAAAGTTCAAGGTTATCCTCGGTGAGTTTGAAGCCAGTCTGAGCTACATGGAACCCCACCTCAAAGAATAAAAAGTTGTGTCCTTTTTCTTTTGTTCCCTAGGCTAGGGTGGAACCCAGGGCTGTAACACTGAGCTGCATCCCAATCCAATGCTTTCATTTCTAACCCAGTATGAATTATAGTCATCTTACTACCAATATAGTCACAGGACTATCTGGGAACATTAACAAATGAGGGTGAAAGTGCCCAGAGGAATAAAGTCATAACACATTCTGGAACCCAAATCAAAAAGCAGGACCACTCTGACTGTTGCTCAGCTCTGAGAAGAAAGTTGGAAAGACTGGATGGCTGTAAACCAGTTCCCATATCTGCACATGTATGTGGTACCAGCTTAGCTCCTGCTTACAAAGGGCCATTGAAAACAAAGGTCTTATCGGCCGTGGTAGTGCAGGCCTGTCTTCCAGAGGCCACAGAGGCTGAAACAGGGAGATCACAAGTTCAAGGCCTGTCTGTGAACCTGAGTAAGAGCCCATCTCAAAACAAAACAAAACAAAAACAGGCTGTGGTTATAGTTCAGTGGTTGAACGCAGGGAGTCCTCGGTTCAAATCCCCAGTGTGGCAAACTTGAATCCTGGCCTATCCTGGGACTCAGTGCTAGGGTGCTTCATTAGGCCCTGAATTACACACCAAGGAAAAAAATCCACCAAGCCCCCCATGCTTAGTGCAGCAGAGGCTCCTCGTTTCAAGGACGACCATACTTAGTCTCAGAAGCTTGCAGAGAATGGGGTCACCCTTGTCCTCCTTACCCCCACACTAGCCTCAAGGAATGAAGAAACTCTGTTTCTGAGAGGACCACAGCCAGGACACAACTGGGATAGAAGCCAAGGGGGGTTTACCTTAGAATGGGAAGAGTCAGGTTGGTCAGTTTTCAAGAAACAAGGGGCATCCTCCTTGCATGGAAGCTGGTGCAAGTCCTGCTGCTGGGTGCCAGCCATGGTGGTCCCTGGAGTGGATGACAGATAGGGTCAGCACTCTGCCTGAGACTCATCCCAAAGCAACCCTCTCGCTCAGTAGGTGCTGCCACCTCCTGACACCATGTGACAGCCTACAAACTCCTTGGGTGTCAGTTTGTTTAAGCCTGGTGACACCTTCAACGGGTTCAATTAATCATCTCTAATGACAGGAGGAGACTAGGATTCGTGAGGTGCAGCAAGCAACCCAGGTCACACAATAGGGGATGCTCTTGCCCTGTCCCACTGCTGGCAAAGAATAGCCGAAGACACAGAGAAACTTCCACTCTAGTTCTACAGCAGAATCCATTCTCCAAGCATTCCCTGGGGAGGCCCTAGGGAAAGTAAGGCCAGGGGCTACCCAGGCTGGGAGACAAGGAACACCACCTGGGATAGTCTGAAGGAATGGGGAGCTGAGGGTACTGAGGGAGAGGAGGGGAAGGCCCAGTACTCAGTAAATACATAGGCACAGTTTGTTAGCAAACACCTCCATCCTGTGGGCACCAGTAACCAAGGTGACTCATGTAAATATCATGTTACTTTACAGAAGGGAATGAGTAGCCATAGACTCTGGTGCCCCAGAGGGGACCTGTACCAGCCCTCAGTGGCCACTGGATGATCAGAAATCTGATCATCACTGAAGCTGTCAAATGGCAGCATGAACACTCTAGCTTTGTGCATTTGGGATTTCCCTTTGTTGTTGCTGTTTATGTTTTTGTTTTTCAAGACAGGGCTTCTCTGTAGATCAAGCTGGCCTCAAAGTCACAGAGATCCACCTGTCTGTGCCTCTTGAGTGCCAGGATCAAAAGCGTGTGCCACCATCACCTGGCTTGACACTGCAAATTCTTGATAAGAAATTACAAACACTACACTGCATGCCGTACCACAACACACATACATACACACCACACACAAACCACACTACAACCCACACATCCGACACACAATCCACACTATACCATATACACAACATACACCACGCATATATGCACACACACTCACAACACACACCAACCATTCCCCACCCACACATCCCACCCACCCACACCACACACACACACACACACACACACACACACACACACACACACACACACTGCACCACAAACACCACACATTGTCGCCACAGATGACTCACAGAGGGCCTAAGTGTGTTATTTTCAGTCTGCTGAATGCTGCACAGGTTCATGGAATGAAGGGACACACTGCAGGGCCCATTTATCTCTACATAAAAGCCTCCAGAACACAACCCTGAGTGCCTGAACTTTTCTCTAAAATAAAAGCTTCCTCAAACACTGACTTCCCTGGGCAGCGCTCGGGCCTGGAATTTGGGGCTTTCCCCGGGGTTGACAGGCATCAGTGATACATGGAAAGAATGACTCCTCCTGTTTTCAACTACAAAAACAAAAAGTAACTTCCTTCTATGTGGGAGGGACTGAAGGGACAGGCTCAGTGACCCGGGCACACCTGCTCCCCCTAGCCACTCAGGAAAATGAGCCATACAAAGGCTGATGGTGAAGGTACAGAGGGCACCAGGGGGCCTCCCCATTCTCCCCCCATCTCCCTCTCACTGTCTTTCTTCCTTTGGCAAAGGAGTTGCAGTATGGCATGGGTCTGAGGACCTGCTGGAGTTCAATGGGCAGCACATTTTCTCCCCTTCCTTCAATGTCTTCAGTCACAGGATACAATCCAGACGCCTTGGCCTAAAGTTAACAGTGTCCTGTCCCTTCATGTCCTGTGTGGTCCATGTCCCCATGCACTACCCTCCGTGTCTTCTCTCTCTCTCCCTCTCTCCCTCCCTCCCTCTGTCTCTCTCACTCTCTCTCCCCGTTTTTGAGACAGGGTCTCAACATGCAGCCCTGGCCTGGAACTGGATACAAAAAAACTATAGAAGGCCCTAGGTCCTTGTACTCACAATCGGTACACCACCACCACCAACCCCCACCACTCCCTACCCCCGCCCAACCCTGTGACCTAGACCACACTAGATCTTCCTCTAGGCTCATAAGCTATAGAATCCATTCAGGGTTTTTTTGTTTTGTTTTGTTTATTTGGGTTTTTGAGACAGGGTTTCTCTGTGTAGCCCTGGCTGTCCTGGAACTTACTTTATAGACCAGGCTGGCCTTGAACTAGGAGCTGTGCCTTGCTCTGCCTCCCAAGTATTGGGATTAAAGGCATATACCACCTGCACCAAGCTAGAATCTGTGGGGATGTGACAGCCTGCTGTAACCTGATGGCACTGTATTTTGGGTTTTTTGTTTGTTTGTTTGTTTGTTTCGCTTATGTGTTTGTTTTTTGTTTTTGCCTGCCCAGAATGAACTTCTCTATCCCAGTCATTACCATGCTCAGACCTGAGTAAGAATTTACACAAGTCCCTGTGATGACTAAAGAAACACAATATGGAACCAGGCATCACTTAAGGGTCATTGATCTTCTGTTCTGGAATGCCTGGGAGATCCCAATGATCTGCTGGTGAGATAAGAATAGGATAATGAGGGGGCTGGAGAGATGCCTCAGTGGTTAAGAGCACTGGCTGCCCTTCCAGAGGACCTGGGCTCAATTCCCAGTGTCCACATGGCAGCTCACACCTGTCTGTAACTTAGTTCCAGGGAATCTGACACTCTCACACCAATGCACATAAAATAAAAATTAAATAAATAATTTTTTAAAAGAATAGGATAATGGACTGTGAGGTATTAGCAGCTGCCTTTGTTTCTGTAAAAGTCACTATCGCTATGGGAAAGAGATGAAATGTTCTTTTTATTACTATATACTGGGAAAGGAAAAAAGTGCAGAACGAAGTAAAACACTTTGCTGCCCAGCTGCGGATTCTATGGATAGCTGTAATTCACACCTTTCTGATGTCTGCCTTAAAACCACCTTACCCCATCTCTAAATGGCAGGCTATACATGCTCTAAGGCTGCTCTCCTGCTAGCAGTAAGAATAAATTCATTTCACAATTCATTTTGCTGGGTGGTGATGGCCTACACCTTTAATCCCAGCACTTGGGAGGAAGAGGCAGGTGAATCTCTGTGACTTCAAGGCCAGCCTGATCTACAGAGTGAGTTCCAGGATAGCTAGGGCTGTTACACAAAGAAACCGTGTCTTGAAAAACAAAAACAAACAAACAAATGGACAAAGAATAAATTCATTTCATCTAGATTTGAATTGAGTCTAAGCCTCTGATTTCTCCCAGTGGATTTGAATGCCAAAAGAAATCCACTCTAATGGGAGTGGTCACATGTACTTTGCAAAAGAGTTTCAACAGAGTTACACTTTAAGCTTTACTGTGATAATTACCACCAGGAAACTGATATGGGAAGTCCTTCCATATGCTTTGAATATGTGTGCTTTTACTGGTTGATGAATAAATCTGTTTTGACCAAACGTCAGGCAAAATATAGTTAGGCAGGAAATCCAGAGTTACGGAGAGAAAGAAGATAGAGTCAGGGAGACGCCGTGTAGCCACTGAAGGAGTAACATACCAGAACACTACCGGCAAGCTACAGTTCCATGACAATACATAGATTAATAAAAGTGGATTAATTTATAAGAGAGAGCTAGCCAATAATATACCTGAGCCATTGGCCAAACAATTATATTTAATTATTAGCTCAGAGTGTTATTTTATAAGTGGTTGTAAGGACCCATCCCGAAGAAGAGAAACTAGTCCAGTGGGACTGGGTGAGACAGAGAAAAACTTCCAATTACAGGAAACCTTTTCCCAAAGTTGTACTATATTTAAATATGTCTAGAATAAACTGTCCAGGGTCAGACTCTAGAAGTTTGAACCAACACTGGCTACTGAGTCGTGCTGAACTGGACTTGCTTCATGCCTAGCGCAGCTCTGGGTTTACAGGGATGCCCCACAAGAAACCAGGTTGGCCTGGAATTTGCATTCATCCTTCAGTCTCAACATCTTCAGGGCTGGGACAACAGGCAGACAGAACCACACCCAGCTAAGGTGCCTAATTCCCTGCAATGGGATGTAATGGCTCTGTTCTTACCTATTTTACAGATAGAAGAATTGAGGAATGAGGAAGTTGAGTGGGAATTCAAGCACAGAGGCAAGCCCCTCAGAGTGGCTTCTCCACGAAGGGTTGGCTGGCTTTAGGCCCCTCGGTGAGCTGTACTCCATAGAACTGGGATCTTAAGCTTGCAGGCCACAGGCTACAGGAGAGGAGAAGCGAACCCTCGAGAAGTCACTGCTGTCTGTCCTCCACCCTCCCTCAGCGCTAGCCTGGGCCCAACAGGCTGGACACATATAGAATGTGCTCTGCAAGGCTCTGGGACATCAGCGTATGCAGTATGAGAGACTGGAGTGTTCAAATCCCAGGACTTAAGTCACCTTGAACAAATCCTTTTTTTTTTCTTCCAATGAAAATGATAGGGTCAGGGAGGGGGCGGGGCTGGGGTGTAGCTCAGTGGTAAAGCTGGCATGTCTACAGCCCAGGTTCCATCCTCAGCTCTCCCTCCCCCCACAAAAGGTATTTATTATGGGACTGGGGGGTTTGGGTGCTGAGGATGAAGCCAGGCCCTGTCCGTACCAAGCAGATCCTCTGCCATGGGCCACAGGGCTCCCTACCCTAACCCCCCCCAAGTAAACCCAGATTACAGGTATGTGCTACACACCCAGCTATATAGCCCAGAATAGGGCTGAACTTACAACCCTCCTGCCTCAGACTCTCAAATAGCTGGGATTACAGGCATACATCACCATACCTGGGTGTTCCCCTTTTTTAACTCACTTTTTTTTTTTTTTTTTTTGAGACAGGGTTTTTCTGTGTAGCTCTGGAGCCTGTCCTGGAACTAGCTCTTGTAGACCAGGCTGGTCTTGAACTCACATTGATCCACCTCTGCCTCCCGAGTGCTGGGATTAAAGGCATGCATCACCACCACCCAGCTCTAATTCACTTTTACACTGTATTTTGATATACACACACATATACACACACCCCAAAAGAAAAAAAAACTTAAGAATACCTATGGGAGCCCTGGAGAGATGGCTTAGAGGTTAAGAGCACTGATCACTCTTCTAGAGGTCCTGAGTTCAATTCCCAACAACCACATGGTGGCTCACAACCATCTATAATGAGATCTGATGCCCTCATCTACAGCAAAACACTGTATACATGATAGATAGGTAGATAGATAGATAGATAGATAGATAGATAGATAGATAGATAGATAGATAGATAGATAGAGCAAGAATAAGAATAAGATAGATAGAGCAAGAATAAGACTGACAAGATGGCTCAACAATTAAGAGGACCTGGGTTTGAATCCCAGAATGCACATAGTGGCACACAACCATCTCTAACATCAGTTTCAGGGGATCTAGCACCCTTTTCTGGCCTCCATGGGCACTATATACAAGTAGTCCATATCCATATGTGCAGGTAAAACACCCATGCACACAAATATAAAAAAGTAAGTCTAAAACCCGGAAGAAGAGGCAGAAGAGAGTGGAACAGGTGGAGTACCTGTTCCTAGAAAGGAGCCTGGCTTCACAGGCTGTCCCTTTTCCTGTTCATCCTTGAGGTTTCTTCCAGAAGTAGCCACAGGCCCTGGTTTCGCAGCCTCTGGGAAGGCTGGAAGAGGAGATGAGCTCTCAGCAACCGGCTTCCCTGAAACAAGGAAGAGAAGATGCTGTTACTTCCCATGACCAGGGGAGCTATGGAGAGGCGGGTCTGGAACTCAGGGTCTAATCCTGACTCCAGCACAAATTCTCACTGTGCCTCATGCGTTTTGTTTTCTTGGTCATGGCTTGCTCATCTGTTCACTGGGGTGAGAGGCTGTGACAGTGCCACATGTTTTGGTTCTGACATTCTGAATCACACACCTTCTGACAGAGCTAATTATATAACTTCAGAAAAGTTACTTTCCATCTGTGAACCTCCTATAAGATGGAGACCATTGGGGCTAGAGAAATAGTTCAGCAGTTAAGAGCACTGACTGCTCTCACAGAGGACCTGGATTCTGTTCCCAGCACCCACATGGAGGTTTTAAAATGTCTGTAACTGTAGTTCCAGGGGATGCAATACACTCTTCTGGCCTCTCCAGGAACTATGCATATGGGTGGTACACATACATATTTGAAGGAAAACACTCATACACATACAATACAAATAAATACATATTTAAAATAAATTAATTAAAAACAAACAGAGACCATGAAGGTAATGCCTGCTTGCCTCCTTCCCAGGGCTACTGTGAGCAGAGAGTGAGAGCCCAGGTATGAAAGGGCTTTGGAAAGGGCTTTCCAGTTTACAGAATGTGTAAACAAGTCGAAGGCATCCATATTGGAGCCAGATATGGCTCAGTGGGAGAGCATTTACCTAGCATGCACAAGACCCTGAGTTCTAGGAGTCACGTATACCAAAGTCCTGACTGCCCTGAAGTTTCACTTCCCCACTTCCTATGTGTGAATCCTACATAGCAGCTATATCTAGAGAGAGTCCCCAGACTATGCCCTACCCAGCACACACACACAACTGCACAGCTCATCTCTAAACAGCTTCAGGGATTTGCTGAGGCTCACACAACCCAGGCTTATAGGCCTGCTACAGACATCTCCTGCCCTCCTATGAGTCCTCAATTCTACTTAGCATGACTTTGGGAAACTCCAAAGATGTTGGGAGGTCCCACACATGCCGGCTCACATTCAGATCCTCAAAAGCGGTTCTGTCAAACAGTTTTCTCCTCTCTTCCACCAGTGCCCAGGCTTACCCTTCCTGCCTCCACTGCTTCTGGCTCAGCTGCCCTTCCTTTGTCACCAGGCAGCAGGAGACTGAAACATAGGTCCCTTCTGGCCCCATCACATTCCATTGCTTAAAGGGAAGCACCGTGACTCCTCAGCACCTGGATAATGTCTAAATTCTTCAGCCTGGATTCTTCAATATTACTGCTTCAGATAAAACTCAAATTGTAAGGGCTGTGGACTTACAGGTGGTAGAGCACTTGGGAATGTGTGTGAGGGCAAAGAAATGAGGCCACAGCCCCATGGTTCTCTGTTGGTTTGAAGTGTGAAAATGAAAGCCTTTAGGGGATCTGACACTCTCTTCTATCTTTCTCTGGCACTAAATGCAGGTGGTGCATATACACAGCCACAGCCAAAAACACTAAAATGAGCCAGGCTTGGTTGCAGTCACCTTTTTAATGCCAGCACTGGGAAAGCAGAGGATCTCTATGAGTTCTAGGCAGGCCAGGGCTACACAATGCTACCTTGTCCCAAAACAAACAATAACAAACCTTGGAAAGATGGCTCAGTGTAAGAGACTATGAGAACCAGAATTAGGCTACCAGTACCCACATCAGGTGGCTCACAAGTATGTTTGACATCTCTGGCCTCTGAGTCACCTGCACTCACACACACACACCCACACACGTGTGTGTGTGTGTGTGTGTGTGTGTGTGCGCGCGCGCGCGCGCGAGCGCCCAGTGACAGCTGACTAGTTATTCAGTCTCTCAACAATATCAGGCTGAGCTGGAGTGAAAGGACCCCAGCATCATTCATTCCAAGTGATAAATGGAGTCTCTCGAAAGAAAGCATGACTGAGGAAGTAGTTTTGCAAACTCAAGCTTTGTTATCACAACAGGTAACATCTAAATTCCTCTGGCACTATGCTTTCATGAATGCTGGAAGACATACTTAACTTCCACAGCAATCTCTGGCAGTTAATACCTGCATGCATGCTTTTACTTTTTAAAATATCTATTGGTGGAGCTGAGGATGGAAGCCAAGGCCTGAAACATGCTGGGAAAGCCCTCTCGTGCTGAACTACATACCCCAACACTATCCCACAAACTTCCAATCATCTCTATAAGCCAAGAACATTGACTCCTATTTGTACTCTCAGCCCATGGAAGGCTGAATTAGGAAATTCAGCAATTCAGTGGCCTTGATTCAAAATAAAAGATGGGGAGCAATCTAGGAAGGTAACTCCTTGGACGAGTGCTTATCTAGGAAGTGTGAGACCCTGGACTGGATCACTAATACTAAAACCCACCACTGTTTGTGACCCCTGTCAGGTCTGAGTTCCAGCAGAGAAGATAAGGTCCCTGCACAATTAGGAGCAGAAGTACAATGAGGTCACTGGGAAGTTCTAGGAATTTGGGACAACAAAGGCTGAATGAGAATCACGGTGACTTTTCCCTGAGTTTCCTGTATTGTAGATGATGCATTCCTCTATTGTAGGAAGCCGGTTCCTGCATTATAATGTTGCCTGAAGACACCAAGGTATAAATTACTTCACAGGCGCTGGGTAATCTCCATTCCTTTGATCTCTGCCTATCCCGTGGCTCATTTTTGCCTGAGGAGCTGAAGCCATTCATTAGGGTAACACGTCCCAGGCGGCTGGTCAGCCTTTATATAGGGATGGTTTTCTTGGTTCAATGTCTCCACTCTGGTAAAATGCATTAAAGCTTGTCTGCAGAAGGATCCGAGTGTCCTGCGTGTATTTCTTGCTGGCGAGGAATACAGAGCGGGCGCGGGACACTCTATTAATATTTTTTAATTATATTTACTTATTTGGTCATGTGTGGAGGTCTGAGGACAACTTTTGGGAATTGATTTTCTTCTCATACTATATGGTTTCCAGAGGTCAAACTTAAGTCATTAGGTGGCAACAAGTACCCTTAGCCACATTACCCACAGTTCACTGGCCCGCATTCCTCTTTTAAATAAGTTTTTCTTAGGCCTGGCATGATGGCACATGCCTTTAATTCCAGCACTCAGGAAGCAGAAGCAGCAGGATCTCTGTGAGGCCAGTCTAGTATAAATAGCAAGTTCCAGGAGTACATAGAGAGATCCTGTCTCAGAAAGCAAAAAATAAAATAAAAAGCCCATCTTAGGAAAGTAAAAGCAAGCACCAGCTCCATCCTGCCCCAGATGAGATCACTCTGGACCACTTCCCAGAGGATGGAGGAAGCTGTGTGGTAAGGCAGGCCTGTAATCCTAGCATCAAGAAGCAGGAGGATAACCAGAAGGTCTAAACAAGCCTGAATTATACTTTTAGATCCTGCTTTAAAAAAGCAAGCAAGCTAGGAAGGACAGAAGGAGTTTTTGTTTTTCATTTTGTTTGCTTGTTTGTTGAGAAAGGGTCTCTTGTAGCCCAGGTTGGCCTCAAACCAACCATTAAGAGTGAACTCCCTATCTTTATGCCCCAGCCCCAAGTGCTGGGATTAAGAAATGGCATTTGTTGGGTCATATCACCTGGAATGCAGACTCTAAACCAGCCACTTCCCATAGCAGCCAATCCACATAGTCTGTGCCCTGTAGACCAGGCTAACTTTGAAGCCCAGGAGGGGAACAGACAGTCTTTGTAACAAAATGTCAACAAAACCCATTTGCTGAGGTAACTGCCAATTTATGATTATGCCTGCCACAAAGCTGCCCAACCAGGGGGAGACCAAAAGCAGATATTAAGCCTGTCCCCAAAGGGCAGGCTGTTCCACACATGGCTTACCCAGCCTCCACTCTCTCTAGGGACACTGTCTTTCTTGTGTTGCTCCTCCCTCCCCTGACAGCCATGGTCCTCAGAGGGCATACCAGCAGCACCTCACGACAGGTGTCTAAAGTAGAGGGACAGAGATCTCCATGGTAAGGACACCTCAACCATGACTTGGGGCCCAAGCCATGCCCACAGCAGTGTGAAATGACCCCCAAAGGGCCACCAGTCCCCACATTGCTCTTGGGGCCAGCATATAATACAGCTTTTCTTTTATATTTTGTATTTATCTATGTATATGTACACAATGTGCATATTCCAGCATTTGTGTGTGTGCGTCTGAGTGTGTGTGTGTGTGTGTGTGTGTGTGTGTGTGTGTAAATATGGACATGAACATATACCATAGAGCTTGCATAGAGTTTAAGATAGAGTCTCTTTCTTGTTTTTCTACTGTGTATACCAGGCTACCTACCCTGAGAGCCTCTAAAAATTCTCCTTTCTCCTTCTCCCATCTCCCTCAGGGAAACTGGAAATATAGACACAGGTGCCAGTGTCTGGCTTTTACATAGTTTCTGGGGATTTGAATTCAAGTGCTTTTTTATACTGAACCATCTCCCCAGCTAGAGGTATTTTCTTCCCTACAGCCTGGCTGAGCCTCAGTTTCTTTATCAATAACATGGAGGTCAAGGGTCATTCCATACTTAACCTCTGGGTCCTATTCCTGGTGGCTTTGGCCTTTCCCCTGTTGCTGGGAATGGAACCAGGGACTGGCACTAAGCCACTGAGTCATAGCCCAGCCCCTATGACTTTTTTGTTTAGCACAGATCTGTGTCTCTCTTTGCAGGCACATTTAATGTGGACAGCCCAGGGTTCATGGCTGACCTTTGCAAGCTCCACTCAGAAGGCACACAAAAGCTTCATTTACTATTTTCATTTCAGGGAGAGTCCATCTTTTCTCTCTTTCATGTTCTTTCCACAATGACATGCTATAGCCTGCACCTGGCAGTGTGTCACTGAATGGAAACATTCAGGGTTGCCTGGGAGGAGGACACACAATGGAAGGAGCAGCTTGAGAAGGCCTGAGGGGAACCTGCCAGCACATTTGGAGTTAACACCCCCTCAACCACACAAGGGTACCTAGTGACACTTGGAGGGTCATGCCCAGCCACAGATGTCAG